GGCATGCTGTGCCGAACTTCCAAAACCTCCACCCCTTCCGCCTCCAAGGTCAAGGAGAAACTCGACAAGATGATGGATGCGGTTATGGCCCAGATCAGCAAGCTTCGGGCCCTAGTGAAGGAGATGAGGACGAAGTACAAAGACAGTGAGAAGCCTTTTGGATCTACATATGGCATGCCCCAACCGCACAAGCCTAAATCCGTTGCAACAACCCAGGACTATCGCCACCCTCGAGCAGCACATCAAGTCTCTTGAGGCCCACTACGACCACTGCCAAGAGGCCAAGCTCCATTCGGAGGTGAGTCCCGATGAAGAGCCTTTCGACTTTTAAGGTAGGAGCTTTGAAGCCATCGGCTATACTTGTTGGGGTGCTTCAGATTGGAGGCTGATACTCGGGGTGATGCTTGTGTTGTGTGCATCCAGCAGCACCGAACATGCTAAGGTTTTTCACAGCTGCCCAGAAAACCATCAAGGATGCCACGGCAGTGTGCTCAACTTAAAAATTTCATTGACCCAGAAGTGCTCTACAGTTCTTGTGGTTCCAAGTTCCGAGCCGAAGCCCCCTAAAGTTGATCTAAGGTGCTCCCGAGCTGCATCAGCCGAAATGAAGATCAGGACTGAGCCCACTTCTTCTAATGAAGCCAATCCAACTATTCGTGTTGATCACAGGACCGCCAAGAAGTACTATGAGAAGCTTGAGGAACCCGGGGCAAAGCCCAGGGCCGTTCCGAAGGCCGCTCCGAAGGCTTCCCCGAAGCCCCCCGAGGAAACCGAGAAGCCTCGCCCGGCCAAGAAGGCCAAAGCGGCGAAGCCGAAGAAGTGACCTGAGGGGTTTTCTAGGTTTATAAATAGGACCTATGTAGGGCTTTAGGGTTTAGCTTTCCAGGTGCAGGTGGATAGTTGTACATAGATAAAGTAGTTGTACCGAAAACCTCGTTTGAAGGCTTTTTGATCTGTGGTTGTTGCCACAGGGATGAACATGTGGCTGTCTCAGCATAAATTCGCTGCCGAGCTTATCTCATCTGACACGCAGGGGGCCGCTGAAGAAAGCAGAGTTCTGCTAGTTGCTTCGCTCGAGAGAATGCTTCAACTGCAAACCGAATCCTAAGTGTGTTCCCAAACCTCCTAAACCCTAAGCCCGAAACCCTAAACCAATAAGACCAGCCTCTAAATCCCAAACCCCGCTTAGAAAAATCTGACCTGCGAGTTTCTGTTGACAGAAGCCCAAAGCACACTAGCATCCTATAGAAAAGATGCCACTGTAGTGCCAACCCAAACTTCCGAGGCTTCTACAACTCTGAGTGTACCAACAGAACCTACTACAAAAGCTCCCCAAACCCTACCCTAAACCCTAAACCCCTAACCCCTACCCTATATACCACTTATGCCAGGTTCCTCGACCGGCCACCTCGTCCGTCGGCTCTCGCAGGATATCGGCGAAGGGGCAGGGTGCTCAGCAACCATTCGAAGCAGCAGGCTGTTGCATCGGTCTGATAAGAAAGTGAATGCCTATGTGCAACCCTTGAAGCTCTTGTTGTGTTGTTCCTTCGAGTCCGGGCTCTCAGAAAGGATGAGGGCCTTTAAAAAGGTACATAAGCTACCTCAGCAATGGATGTTGCCACCTGCTCGATCGAAAGCGCCGAGGATGAGCTGCTAGATCTGTTCACAAGCCACCGCAACGATCCCTATGTATAGTAGGAAGCTTTTTTAAGTTATTTATTTCCACTTATATATTCATATGTGACTCTTGTTTTGTATGAAACAAACAGCCTAGGAAGATGTGCTTGCATTTCCCTGGGCAACGGCTGCAAGCAGGTCTGTCAGTGGTCAGGAAACAAACACGAAGCAGAACTTTCCGAAAGACACCGAAAGCCCTACTGATTCCGAGGCTACAAGTGTAGCTAGCTCCGGCATCAAGAGCATCGGCAGCACGGATGGACAAGCTTTGGATGACCCAAATCAAATACCATCTTCCCGCACCGGGTTCCGTGGCTGGTAAGGTTTTGATGCATGCTATCCGGGTGATGGAAAGCCTTTTCCGAAAGCACGAGCCGCTGATTTGGAAAGTAGGGTTTACTCACAACCCATCCTGGCGATGGGGAAACGAGCTTTACGGCTATGTTCATGCTCGTGACAAGTGGGCTGGAATGGTTGTTCTTTACTGCTCGAATGAGCAGTTTGGTCCGGCTATGCTAGAAGCAGCTTGAATCGAGAAGTTCAAAAGCATCTTGGCTAGATGACGATCGATCTTCTATGTTGGTGGAAGTGATACCAGTATGCACAAGTCAAGTGGAAAATACTCCTGAGGTAAAGCTGGGTGCAGGAACATCAAACTCGGTGGCGACACGGTTCAAGCTTCGATGCCTGATGCAGAGGATCGTTTCATGACATATGTCGTGTATAGGTCTTTTAAATATCCGCCTCCGACAAGGTGCTTGTCGTGAAGCCTTTTCGAAAGAAGCGAGTGCATCGGAGGGAGCCAAAACGATTTCGTGTGCATGCAGCAATCTGTCTGTGCAGCAGTCAGCCGGTAACACTTTCTACTGATGTGTAGCTTCTGCAATGTGCTCTCGAGTGTCTGCTTTTGGAAACATATTTTCCCGAAGCCTTGTGTTTGCCGAGGCCCCATGTACGACAGCCATCAAGACTGCACGGGCAGTCGTGAAGGACCTGGGTGAGGAGAAGGCTGGCGAGATAGGTGGGCTGCTCCGGCTTTCGCAGTGCTCGACAAAGAATCCTGAAAGGGATACTCGTTCTTTATTAGCGAATCGACTGGGTTTAGCCCTTGATGTACCACTTCGGACAATTTCGGTGGCAAGCAAAAAGTCTGAGACAACACATTTGGAGATGTTGTCCCTCGTTGACTGGGCTTCTTTTCTGCTGAAAACCAACACGTGGCATATTCTTTCAGGCCTTATGAGGCCTGATGCCAAAAGAGAAAGATGTATATGGGCTGCATTCTGGGAGAAGTACAAACTTCTTGAACCCGCTCACCCCGTTTTTGGCATGGCACGAAACAACGAGATCGACCTCAGTCGCACGGCGGCTGTGGTCATGCACGGGGACGAGGGCAGAGGCAGACGCCGACAGGCCTTTATGGTTCTGTCTTTCCATTCTTTGCTGGGCAGGGGGACGAACCTTTCAACCAAGAAAGCCGTGAAGAAACCTTATTTAAAGATGAAGCTGAACTTCAAAGGCCATAGCTACTGTTCGAGGCTGCTTTCTGGTGTACTTCCCAAGCACATGTACCAGAAGGATGATGAGGTGTTCGAGACCTTGTTGCGGGCATCGTGTGACGATGCCCGCACCATGATGACAGAGGGAGTGCTCGATGCCAATGGAAACCGTTTTTGGATGGTTTGCTTGGGCACAGTTGGAGATTGGCCCTTCCTTCAGAAGAGCGGCCACTTCACACGGACATTTGCAAATGTCGTGAAAAGGGTTGATCAGGTTGCCAATG